GCGACAAACTGAACCCAGAGACTCCAATACCCCTTAATTAAGGAATATACCTTAAACTGTAGTAGGATTCCAAATAAGATTTAAGGTATATTCCTTAATTAAGGGGTATTGGAGACTCTGGGAACTTCAAGCATCTTGAGCAGGCGTCCTTCTCAGGATACCGTTCATGCTGACCTGCGGAATGGGGTGTATGTCTTCTTTTTGAAATCTCCTTTACTATGGCCCCCTGTGCATATCTACACCATGAAGTTGACAAAACAGGCGTGATCGGTTCTCGTAGGTTAACTCGGTGCCGAGAAACTTCTGCTGAAAGGAAGACATCGAGCGGGTGGTCAGCCTCTTGGCTCAGAGATGAGCACAGAGGCACGGGGTACAACCATCTTCGTGACAACTCCCACCACAGCCATCTTCAGTCATCTTCAGTCATGATTTGTCTTTGAGCTTAAGCCCACCCACAACCTAAACCCTAAACCCTAAACCGATGTGGTTGCAAATGGTGATGCACTGATGCTGGTTGCTGCGAACCCCAGACCCGAATAGCAAGCAACGAGTCCATGACTCAGACACTCAGACTGTGCGAGGTTCTGGGGTTGGTGTCGGCCTTGTCATGAGCCTTGGACTTTCTAAGGTCAACCTCTATCCGGCGAGGTGGGGGCCGCAGCGGCTGCAGCGCCTGCCGTGGAGGCGTTCAGTCGATTTCCCTGTGTGGGATGCACGACGAAGTACGCAACAGATTGGATTTTTGTCCGGGTGAGAGCGGGGTTTCACCTCATCGCTTCTTCTGCTTTTGCGATTGACTTAAGTGGTGCCCTCAGGCCCCTGCTGCTGGCCGGCAAGTGCCCGGGATGCAAGAGTGTGCACCGCATCGGAAGGGCATACCAGCACACGTGGGATTGTGGATAAGTTTGGGCTTCGAGGAGCACCGTTGCAATGGGATAAGGACTCTCAGAGGAGTCTCTGATGCCAAGTATCTTTTCTGCTGCAACTCCCAGGCACTGGATGATGAGCTCCTCAACACCATAGAGCTTCTGATGGAAGCCTACAGCTGCTTGTCTGGATGGTGACTGTGAATCAGAGGTTGAAACACACCTGTCCGGCCAGGGTATGGTAGGATGATCGACACCAACTGCCGACAGGGTTTTGCTCGGTCGCTTGGAAAGGTAGCTGAAACTTCAACAGGACAGGTGCATGAGGGGAACAGCCTGAAGCCTGCACCCGAATCCAAGTGCCTGGCAAGCAGCGGATTCCTCGATCCCAATCTCCCTCCTACCCTTCGGAGGGTTTCTGTAGCAGAAGCGAGAAGACCCGGTCCAGCGTCTCCTGAGGCGCCAAAGAGGTGGAGGGCCGAGAGCTGCTCGAAGCGCGGGCGACAAGTAATTCAGTTTCGATTTTTTTTTTTCTCATCCTTTCCTTCCGTGGTTAGGGGTTCTCTTCCGGTGGCAACCACCAGCTGTGCCACTCTGTCGGTGATGTGAAGTCAGGCATTCAGGCCACCAAACCACGAAACGTTCCTGCGCGTCGATGTCTCTCGGTGCACGGCCGAGCCAAGGAGCCGTTTTCGGAGTTGCTGGAGGTGCTGAGAGGCAGCGAGAAGCCCACAGACTTGGAGATCAAGGCTCCAGATCTCACGAGTTTAGTTAAGTTTAGGGGGGGGGGGACAGGTTTGGGTTGAGGACATGTTCAGGAGTGTGAGGGCGTGCAGGCATAAGTATCCACCATGTAAGACGAGGCCTCATTGGTTGTGGCGGCTGACCTTAAGGGTTGCAGGATGTGATGACATGTTCTTCCTTGGAGGGGCCACCTGATGATGCATAAAACCCAGAGACACGAACCGAACACTGAGTCCTTGATTCCATGGCTCCCGTAAGCCAACCTCCGTGGCACTGGGCCTGGAACACCAGAGGGCTGATACTCTTCACGTCGGAGACTTCCGCCAAGCTGCTCGGTCTTGGCAGGAAGTCTTGGTTGAGATGATGGGCATCATCGAGGAGGCAGACATGTTTCAGAGATTCCGGGACTCAGCCACCATGGCTCTGCAGGTGATGGTGCCCTTGGGCTTAGGATTCTCGAATTTGGCCCCATGCCTCCCCGCTTCGAAACCCTGCGACCTGCCGGAGGAGGAGGGAGGCTGCCAACTTTAGAGGCTCCTGTGCTTCGCCCCTCGAGGAGATGGGGTTGGGCTTGGGACTTTGTGGAAGTAGTTCGGGGAGTGGGCACACCCGAAACCTAAAACCCTGTGCCAAGGACCCGAGATCCTCTAACCGAATGCCCACCGCAATAAGCCTTGGACCAACTTTCCAAAACCCATCCAAGACCGCACAGATGGTCAGACAATGTCAGGACCTGCTAACGACACGGCCGCCGTTTTGAGGCCGTGTGTCAAGGAGGGTTGGTTTTTTGAATATTTCAGGGCTCTTTTGGCGGCCATTGTGGTCTAGGGTAACTGGAAAATTAGTATGTTGACACCCTCGGACTTTTGCTGGGACAAAGTGCTGCACTTCGTGCCGGGGCATGTGCAGCTTGCACTAATTTGGTCGGAAATAGTGAGGTAGGGGTTCTCGGGTTCTCGGGCTAGGTTTGGTGAAGTTGGGCTGAAGGGTTGGGATGTGTTGAGCGGCACCATATCTCTCGGCTACCAGCACGACTAGGCAGGGAGCCAGGCCCAGCCAAATTCACTCTATCTGTGGCTCTCTTTCCCTTCCTCTGTCTCCATGTTGGCTTTCGCAAAACATCTGCATGGCCCTCAGCTGCGAGTGTGAGAAAGACCCAGTCCTTCGAGCCAGGCGCTCCCGGCGCAGAGCGGCGCCGTGCTATTGGGCCACCGTAGAAAGTCTTGGTTTGGTAGACATCGCAAACTCAGGGAGAGGTCCCATGAAGGGGGGCAAAGGCAAGAAAACATCATAGTCGGACTAGTGACTACCGGGAGTCCTCTGGAAGTTCTTCTGAAAGAAGAGACTCGTGTTTCTTGTTAGGATGCATTCCTTTTGATAGCTGCCGTCCAACGGCATCCTTAGCTGCAGAAGACGCAGCATCGCGGTCTGCCTGACCCAAAAGGCTTGTCTGATGCCACGTTTTCTCCAACCACGTCCAACTGCGATGGCTGGGTTTAGAGTTGGGGCCATTGTTGCAGGAGTGGCTTCAAGTGGAGCGTCATGCTTCATGAATGTTCGTCTGCTCAAGCTTTTTTTGGAACTTACATGAGTCCAAATGCCGCTAGATCCAAGAAAGGATCATAAGGATTGTTTGTCATAAACCACGACCTGCAAGACTGCAGACCAATCATCAGGCAGCAAACCCGACGTCAAGCATCACAGGACCACCGAGATGCATGGCAGGGTCTGTCGAGTAGGATAGTGCTTCTGGCTATTTCTAGTCATGATATGGGTTCACAAACCCAAGCGAGTCGTGCGTCGCGGCCCTTGTGAGGGCTGCACTGCGGTCCTCAGCTTGAGAGAAGTCCAGATTTGCATACGCCTACACCAGAAGCGAGATTCCATCCAAGCCTTTCCATGGAGCCATGGGGAAACGTGGCAAGGCTTCACACGGCCGAAGCTCGGTTTCAGTTGATCGGTCGCCTGCAGATGCGCGAAAGCTACTCGTACAGAGCTCTGGGTCTTCGCTTATTGCAGTCTGATGTGTGGGACTCTTGAGCAGCACATGTAACACCAAAGTTTTTTTCTCTCAGCTCCTGCCCTGACACACAACCCCTGAAAACCGAACGCACTCCCGAAGCGAAGCTCTCCCAGGAAGCAAGTCCCAGAAAAAGAGCAAAGGCTGCCTCAGGGCTGGCTGTGGACGGTTTCAGAGCTCTTGGGTGGAAGGTTCAGGGTGCAGGTTGTGGGGTTCGTTTTCTTTGGGTGGGAGGTGTGGTGGGTGCACCTGGGCCTCCTTTTTTGAGCTTTGTAGAGCGGATCCGTGCCCGCGGCCAGGCCCCGGTAAGCCCAGCAAGTCTGGCAAAGGTGGCAAAGGCGGGGCGGCAGAGACCTGGGCGGGAATCTAGGCAATGCGGGGCAGTGGGGCGTTGTGGCCCTTTGGATTTTTTAGGTTCGTGTCAACAGAATCAGCATATAATGGCCCAAAGGAAGAAACTGGCATCCCTCCAAAGATGTAATCCACTGATCCCCTACAGCCTGCCGTGCCACCCAGAGAGTTCTGTTCGTCCCAATTGCAATGCGAACAGACTATGTGCAAGGAGCCCCAAATAACATGAATCCCTGAAACGCACGCAACTCGGAAGCCGATGGTGCGGGGGACATGCGGACACTTTGGCATCATGACACGGTTCAGGGCTTTGGGCTATTGGGTTGCATCCCTCTCGCAACCCTTTTGGTAAGCCTTGTAGTAGCTGTTACAGACCCCTTTAAGCGGAAACCCTACTGAACAGCAGATCGTCTCGACATGCTCAGGTGGAAGTAGAGGATCCAAAGGTGTCCTCAAGAAGGGAAAGCTGAAAACCGAGCCAGGACTCGGGTTTGGGGCTTGAGATTTCAGGGTTTCTTTCCTGGTGCGGTGACGAGTGCCGTGCTTCTTGAACTCACCGTAGCAAGCTGCAATAGAAGATCCAGGCCAGCCAGAGTAGGAGCATCGGATGCAGTCTGCCAAGCCGTGACCTGGAGGAAAAGGCTCTGGAAAAAGCAAGGCAAAGGGCAGCGGCAAGGACTCCTTGCATGGCAGACTGCGCATGCAAGGAAGCATTCGAGTGTCTGCAACCTGCGATTGTACCTATATCCATCACTCATCCGCCTGCATCCGCATCTTTTCCACCCGGAGATCGTGGACATGAAATGCATCATAAAGATGTCTGCAATCCGAAGAGGCGAAAGGAACAGCAGTAGCTCAGATACAGAAAGCTGCTGTACTAGCCCTTGTTGCCACAAACCAGTGCAAGAACTTCGACTTGGGACGCAGGATGCCTCGACGAAGGAAGGCGGCAAAGGCGTGGCTTTGCTCTTCCCCAAAACCGCGCACATCCACAAGCCCCGAGTCCGGGTTCAGAGGCGATGTCTGCGATTTCCGTGTGCCTTGCCTCGGCTTGGAGCATCAGTCCTCTGGAGATCATTGTTTGGGGACCCTGATCCATCCTAGATCACTCAAGCCAGCAGCCCTGAACCCAACTCCCAAGAACTCCCGCCAAAGGCTACCTCGACGGTACCTCCGAAATAACACCCGAGAAGCCAGAAGCCTTTTGAGCCTGCCACCAAAAGCATCCGGGGTCCCTTTAGGCCCTAACCCTAACAGCCCCATAGCCCGGAAGAGAAGTGCCGGAAGTGACAGCGCCATGATCTGTCGCCCCTGCCTCGCTGCCCGCTTCCGACACCGTTGGGGCTCGCTGGTGGCAGTGGGAGGTGGGGGTCTGGGCAGCGCTTGCAGGGTTTGGGATGCACAGGGTGGCTTGTTTTGCTGGGTTTCGGGCTTTCGGGATTATTGTAGTTTGAGAGATGTTTTTCGTTGTAGATTTGGGATGTTCTGGGCTTCTTGTGCAGCGTGAAGGTCGAGAAGGGCCGCTAGTTTGGAGATTCTCATATGAGGTTGCCTTCAACTTGTGTTCGTGTCGTCTCCATGATCATGAGGTTCGTGTGTCAGGTGTGCGTGTGTGTGTGTGTGTCGGAAGACATCAGCTGGCTTTTCGGATAGGGGCTTGGCAGGATTGCGGGGCACTTGGAGTTGAAGGGAAAGCCACCTGACCTGGAAAAAAAGTTTTCGATGGTTGTGACAAGTTGGTGACTCATGACATCATGGTGCAAGCCTGCAAGGCGTTTTTGCAGTGACCATTGTTCTCCAAACATCCGAAGACTTCCTAACCCTAAACCACAAACCCCAAAACTCTGAACCCTAAGCCCTATCAAGCCCTAAATCCCGAAACCCTACAACCCTAATGCCCTATAAACTTTAGATGAACCCAAACACCGTAAACCTTGAGGGAGCCGCCGACACTTCCTCGGGGCCCTCACCGCCTCGCCGTCGGCAGAAGACCCGAGGCAATCGGCAAGAACGGCAAAACTTACTTAGGGTTTTAAGGGTTGTTTTTTTGGGGTTAGGGCTTTTGGGGTTTAGGATTTAGGGGTCAGGAGTTTTGGAGGAAGGGAGCGGTGCCGGTTGCTGTGTTCATTGTTTTGGGGTTCTGGCTTTCTGGGTGCTCTTGGGCTGGGCCAGGTTTTGAATTTTTCATCGTTTGGTTCTTGCGGCTTTCGGGGTCGTCGGTGACTGATTTGGGTGGTTAGGGTTCTGCAGGATTTTGGGGTGTAGGTCGTTCTTCTTTCTGTAACTTGGAATGCAAGACTTGCAGATTTTATCGAGGCCCATTGTGCCAACTCGCAAATCGAAAGGTTAAAACCTCCAGCAGAGTCATCCGATACTGTATGGCTGGACTGCAACTCTCCCAGTTTATGTCTGAAGCTCCGAACTCAATCCTGCGACCACTTACGCTGCAAAGCCCTACACCCGTTATTGTAGCCGATATCCCTAAACCTTAACCACTACATCCCCTCGAGCAGAGGCTAACCGAAGCCCTGGAATCCGTGAAGCGAGGTCGCTACCGCGATTTGTGCATTCGGGATTGGCGAGCATTCGGGGTGTTCGGTACCAGATAGGGCACACCACATACGCCGTTGATTTTGCTCGATAAAGGGGGTTGGACTTGCCGTGCACAGTTCGCTGGCTCCAGATTGGGCAGCCCTCCCCACTAAGGTATTTGCATGTATCTCCCTTTCTTTCTCGCTCCCTGTGCGCGTATGCACGTACTACATAACATGTGCTTGAAAACCCTGAACCCTAAAACTCTAAACCTTCTCTTCCGCCGTAGGCCGCATCGACAAGGCTTTGGCCCTCGCCAAAGAGCTCAATACAGAGGAGGAACAGAGTAGCTTCGGCGCCTGCGGCTTTCGCTCTGGTAGATCAGGGTTCTAGCCACAATACTACTAGTGATGATGAAGAAGAAGATGGTGATGGATGATGATGATGCTGATGATGATGATGATGATGATGATTGTTATTGTTATAACCAACATGATGGTTAGTACTCTTACAGAGATTGGTCGTGACCCGCAGCTTGGGTCTGTCTGTTCCGGCCAGGTGTTAAAGTCGACGCTCAAATCAAGCCCGGCATCGAGACGTCGTCTATCACATACACCGAGAAATCACCCTAAGCCCTAAACCCCTACTGTAAACCCCAGAGACAAAATCAAGGCATAGGCCACCGGCCTATTGTGGGTGGGCGGTGCTTAAGCCCCTCGCAATGGATGGCGCCTCCCCACTAGCACCCAGATCCGGTACCGGAACCACAGACTGGTTTGGGATCTTGCCTGAAATGCCCTGCCCTGCCCTGACCTTACCGGAGTGTTGGCATGAGTCCAGGCCTAAACCCTAAAAGGACTAGGTTTGGGTGGTTTGGCTGCCTCATACGGCGTGGGTTGGGCGAGAATGAGGGAAAAGCCTTCTATGGACAGGCTTTCACAGCTCATCGCCACAGTACGATGCACTCGACACGGCCTTGTCGCAAGATACTCGCCCACCTGCTGTTCCGCGGCAAACCCTGTACCCTAAATCGTAAACCCCAAACCCTAAAAGGGCCCTTAACAAAAAGCCCAAACCCTAAACCCAAGACGAGACTCCTGAGCCCCGTTTCTGCAAGGAGCCGAGCCGCCTCCTGGCAAGAGCCTGCTCTGAGGGAGCTGCCGTAGCCTGCCAAAAACGGATCAGTGGATTTGAGTGCTTCAGGGTTCGAGGCCATTTAAGGATGGATGTCTGGGTTTCGTTTGAGGTATGGGCATGGGCACCGCAATGCAAGTCCAAAATCCTCTAGGTCGATCTGTTATGGCACCTTTCGTGCGGTTGCCTGATGTTGGTGGGGCGGCTGAGAAGCCCTACACCAAAATCCCAATCAATCCCTTTCATAAGCGCCACAAACTAGCCGGTTCTAAGATTCGACGACACCCAAAACCCAAAGCCCAAAAACCCTACGCCCTACGCCCCTAAACGCTCAAAGCCCTGAAAGCTCCAGAGGCCGCCTATGCGGCGGACCGTGAGGCCCGGGAGATGGCTGTGGGCCTCGCCGTTGCGGGGTCCTTGGTGCTTTTTTTTTTGCTTTTCGATTTGTTTATATATGTTTTGGAGGGAGGTGATTGACTTGTTTCCTGGAGTATGTGCATAGTTGATTTGCTTTATGGGTCCCACGGTGCCCGGTACTAGTGCTTTCTCCCTGGCGAAGACCGCGCTAAGGCGGGGTCCACCTTCGAAATTCCCGGCCCGGTGCTCGCATGTTGGGGCTTTGAAGGTTTAGGGCTTCAAAGGTCAGGCTTGGGGCTTCAGGGCAGAAGCCAAACTTAGGTTTTCGGGGTTTCGGGGTTTTGGGGTTTCAAGGTTTAGGATCATTGTACTACAGGCAACGAATCCAGGACCTAAGTTCGAAGCATGCAACCCGAGTCGCGGCCCGTGCCCCGGAAGCCCCGAGCTTACGCGCACACCTCCTCGCTCCCAATCCTGTGAGACGTAAGTATCCTAAACCTTAATCTTCAAAGGATCTTTAAACGACTAAACCCTAAGAGGGCCCAAACCATAAACCCCAAAACCCGAAAGTCCACAGAGGCAGAGACGTGACTTTAATCCGGCCACGACAGCTGGTCGAAGGTTCGCGAGCTGTTCTGTTGTGTGCCCTGTGGGGCTGAAGGTTTGGGACCAGGCTATAGGGAGTCATGTAATAGACTTCACGTAGTGACTAGCGGCTAGTACAGAAACAGGTTACTTCAAGGAAGCTTTTCTTTGGCTTCTGTGGCATTTTGATTCAGCGAGAGGCTCCGTACAATATCAAGACATCAGAAGCGAGAGCATGTTAGCAAGACATCAGAACGAGCGTATGTCTTGGCAGGCATACCAGCAACAATAAAACATCATCTACGGTGAATCTACAGTCCCCCAAAATATTGACATGGAGCAAGGCAGAGGGAGCCACATCCAGCGAGGAAGGTGTGGCAAAACACCTGTGAAGCATGGTGTAAGCAAACGAGTACAAAGTGAACACTGACAATACATGTACAAAAGCAAGCTTTGTTCAAGCGGGTAGTTAGTGAAATGGAGAAGCCGATAGAGGAGAATCATACAAGCACGAACGGCAGCGTGGATTAGTAAAGTACTAAAGTCAAGCCTTCAAGCAGGAGATATTACCGTGAATATGGTGCTTGTGTGGTGGTGGGGTGAGGCAGCAGATGTGTGCATGCAAACCGAGTAGTGGTATTAGCAGGTATAGGCTTTGAACTGTTTGCATGCTCGGGGTTGCAGCTTTCGGGCAGCGGTGCTGATAGCCCCCCCGAAAGGTTTCTGGCTGCGAAAGATCAGCGATCAGCACGAAGCCGCGGAGAGCGTCCTGGCCTGCAACTTCAGCTGCTGTGGTGTCTGGACAGAAAGCCCTGGCCCAAGATCCTAAACAAGCCTAGGCCCGAAACCCCTTCCTTCCCGGTTCTCTCCTGTCATTCCAAGACTACCCTCTAAGCGTTTTCCAGAGCAAACATAAGCAGTCCTGACACGAGGCCTGAAGCGACTGGCCAAAGCTGCCGTGACGCTGCTGCTCGGCGCCGATTTGGGCGGAGTTTAGGGGTGTAGGCTCAGAGTTTAGAGTTGAGGTGCAGGGTTCAGAGGCAAGCACTCTATGGCGTTGTCTAAGGGCTTCTGCAGGTTTTGGGGTGTCGGCCATAAGAGCCTTCGGCCCCAGCCCCCAGCCCGAAGGATTGACGAACCGCTGAGAGACTCCAGGAAGGGCCTCGACGACGAGGCGGTGCTGCGACGCTTGGACGAGGCACGGTGGGACCAGAAGGTGATTTCTGCTCCGAGGCTGGGAGGTTGAAAGGCTGCTGCTTCTTTGCTGATTTCATGTTCGAGGGGCTGTTGTGAGACGTATCTGGCGCCTAAAAATCCTGACCGTGGGATCGACTGAAGCTTGAAACTAAAGCTCCAAGCCGGGACCCGAAGATGCCAAAAACCCAAGCTCGGTTACATTCCAAATCCCGAACCGCTTCCCAGAGCCCCAAGTCTGAGTGTTTGGGGTTTAGGGCCTAGGGTTTAGGGAAGCCCGTCGGAGCACCCACACCGTTCGCGTTGCAGACAGGCCCCCAGCGCGGAGTCCTCTGCAGCTGCAAGGGAGCCTTGCAGACATAACAGGGGATTGCTGGAGAGTTCCGAAGCTCTGGGTGGTTGGGGTTTGGGGATGCGCAGTTCTAGGATTTGCCGGGCTTGAAGTGGGGTGCTTCCTTCCCATGGAGTTGTCTTTGAGACACAACAGCCACGGAGCGCTAGGCCCACTAGTCACTAGTGCAGCGGAAGACTGGCCTTGGAATCGCTGAGTTCGGTGTTGAAAGCTTTTGAAAACTACCGTCAGGACTACCAGCTGCTTGCTCGGAGTTCGGTGCTTCGCTCCTTGACGTGGAAGTCCTCAGTTCACAAAGGCTTGGCATGTTGGTGGCTTCAGCAAGAGTGCCCTGGGATGATCCCCGGCCGCAGCTGAGGCTTGCAGACATCTCGAAGCATGGCCGTCTTGCAGGCGCAGCTTTGCTGCACCCTGGGCCTCTGCCTCTCAGCCTCCAGAATCAGACGACCTCGGCAGCGGGATCTGTCTTGCGCCGCAAGCGAGTAGAAGGCTGAGTCCAGATCCGACGCTGCATGAGGTACATCGGCAAGCGCATCCAAGGCACCGGTGCACTGTGGTTTGCTGCCCGGATTCGCCCTGAATTCTGAACCCTCAATCTATCAGGCTCTCAGGTTCTTGAGCTTGAGTGATTGCCACAGGCGATGGAACCGTTCTCCCTCGGCTGCCGACGCTTTGGTCTCTCTTCGTGAAAGCTGGCGGCTCGCAGAAGAGGAACCATGTGAGCGTTTTGCGCCTATCGGGTCCGAGTTTAGCGAGTTTACGAAGTTTGCGGCTTAGTCGAAGGCTTTTGGTAGCTTTGCTGATGTTTTGTCCGTGGCCCTGCCGCCAGCCCCTGCCAAGGCACTCACATTCGAGATGCTCTGCTCAGTGCTATCCTCAGCCCGTCAGAGAGGTTTCTGGGATGTCAAGGCGTGCCCGGTTGGTTTCGTGGACGGATCTGAAAGCCTTGAAGCGCCTGCAGACCTTCCCTGCAGGTTTTGGTTGAGCCTTCTATAGTGCTGAGTATGCTCAGTGCAGTGGCATCATCGAAGCCATGCCAAGAGATTCCAGCTTGCAGCTGCCTCCCGCCCAGGTGGCGAGCCCGAAGGACCGTTGAGTGGAGCTGCTGAGGCAGGGACTTGCAACTCCATTCGTGTTGTAGGCAGGGTATCTGCTTGGGCCGGTTGGCTTTGAACTCTTTGGGACGGGCTGCGCCAACCAAAACAGGCGGAGACCTCAGCACTTCTTCATGCCCCTTGAGACCATCGTTTACCCAGCCCCACTCTACAGGCATGTGCAGAAGGTAGGACATTCAGGAAAACCCTGTGGTCGCGCCCAGTCTCGGTGGAATCAAGCGCGATCATGGTGGTGGTGATATGATGGTGGTGGCGGTGGTCATGCTCACGCGTATGGTGACTGTCCACCAGAGTATTACACAACAGTTGAAGAGCTTCGCTTCGCCTTCGTTCGCAGGCTCCAGGTCCGGGTCCCTTCCTCTGTGGACCCTTCCGTGGCCTGGCGGCCCAAAGACAGGCCTCGGTTACCAGGCGCCTTCGGGGATAAGCAACAAGGACAGAGGCCTTGGATGCGGCAGCAGAGAAGAATCTTGCCATGGTCTCAACTGTCTTCCGGGCTTCATCTCTCTCACTTTATATTTCTGGGTTCGGTGTGTGTGATTGGTGCTTGCGGGTTTGAGAAGAGTCAGATCAGAGTTGAAGTGAGAAGTCATCTGTGCATCAAGCGATTGAACGGAATACTGAAGGCTGAAGGCTCGGCGAAAGGTGTGGTTCCGCCTCCCATTTTCTGATGCGCGGTTGTCGGTCTTTCCGATCTTCAGCTGTGGATTTGCCCTGGCTTGCTTTCCCTCGCAGGCACATGGAGATTCTGACAGAGCCTCGTCTGAAGCTTTGGGTTTGTGCCATAGGCTCCATTGATACGCACTGGCTGACAGCATGGGAGATGACTGCCGAGTATCAATCGGCTGTTGAAGTTTTGCGAGTTTTTGGAGCAGAACTTTGACAGCTCCATCGCCTCGAGGAGCTCATATCCGAATCTGCCGCGACTCTCTTCGATGCGGACGACGGTCTGGTGCCTTGGCGTTGGTATGGTGTCCTGCTTGGGTGCGGGCTTGGGTCCACAAGACAAGCTTTCTAGGAGCGACACCAAGCGCTTGCAGAAAAGCCCAGGCCCACTAGTCTTGATCTTGAAATTAGTGTCTGGCAGTGCGAACTGCGTTTCCAGTCAAACTTCATGTCCAACGCCTCCCTATCCGATGCTTTCTTGCCATGGATTGTTGACCGCAACCAAAACTGTCCCTGCCAAGGACCTCCTGGGTCTGGCGGAGGACTTTTACAAGGTGGGCTTCTTCTGATCCGTCAAGAGACAGCAACTTACAGCAACAGCGGCAGCAACAGCAATCGTCACGGCCGCCGCTGCCAACGAGGTCGTCACAGCAGAAGCACCCAACAGCAGACTTTGTTGTTTGCCGAAGACTTCGGTATGAGTTGAGATCCGGTCCTCAAAAAGCTTGACAGCATGTTTATGGTGTGCGCATATGTTACATGCGTTGGTGAACCTTTTCTGAGACGTCCAGCAGATGCAGCTAATTCTCATTCACATCCCCAGTCCCTCTGCCCGGAAAGACCAGTGCCCAAGCACTCGGACGTAGACTTCGGTGCATGGCATAGCTGTCTGACGCATCCTCGACTCTTGTGCAGGCCGACTGCCCGATGGAGGTGCGCCAGCAGACGGTGAAGATCTTCCGTGCCGCGGCGTAGTAATGGGATGGCTAAGGCCGTTTTTGCCGCCGTGTTCCTCATGTTGCTTGTACTAAGCTCCGTCGAACCAGATGCGCACAGATTTTGATCGCTTGGAAAATCTATCCCAGGTCTTGTCAGTGTTTATAGTCGGGGCCACATGATCAGTAGGCTTCACCTCAAAGCCGGAAGAACCGCCACGGGGCCTTTTCTTGCAGAGAAACTGCCAAGGTGCCACAGCGGCTGCCATCAGGGAGCGATGACCTGCGAGCAAAAAGGTATCGACGAAGGTGTCATAAGGTCTCTGACGCACAGCCCCTAGAACATGTCGGCAACTTTGAAAGACCGTAGCTGGTTTCAGTCAGGGGCCTTTAACCCGAACGCCTGAGCAAATATTCTTTTGACGCCAGGCTCCGCCGAAGATGGGAAGGGCCGCTGCCCCTGCTTTACGCGAAGCTAACGGTTCGAGTAGGGTTTGATGTTGCAGGGGTTCCTACGGACAGACTCCACATTGGCATGCCAGATGCTGCCCTCCATAGGAGTGCAAAGCATGTCATGCAAGACATGCGAAACCAGCTGGGCCTGCTGATCTATGGGTTTTCAGGCGGTTGCCCTGCATGCCACAACCTCATGGAATAGCTACAGTTATGACAGTAATAGTAACAATATCAGCATTATCTGCTGCATTATCTTCTGTGCCCTGAAGCCTGCAAGCCTGCATCTGCCCCCAACTCTTCACCCCACATGCGTGGGATGAATCTTAAACCCTGTTCGGAAGTTTACTTGCTGGTATCCCGTCTCCATAGGCTCTGGCGAATCGGGAGTAATTGTGGCCGCATCCAGCAGTTGCAAGAGGGCCGTTCAAAAACAACAGCCCTCAGCAGACGGCCTCGCTCAAAGAAGATTCCTGGATGCGGGTGCCTCAGGGAAAGGCAAAGGCAAAGGAAGAGGCTCGCTGCCTCCGGCACCTGGGACTGCACGGGCATCTTCGCCGTTGAACGGTTTAGGCTTCGGGTTTGAGGTTCAGGGTTGAGGGGCAGGTCTAGGGTTCAGCTTCAGGGTTCACAGCCTAGGGTTTGGGTTTTCCAGGGTGGGGGTTGCGGTTTTGGGTTGTGGGTTTGGGGGTTTGGGGTACTACTTTGAAAGGCGGCGAAAGAATTTGTGGTTCAAGGTCGTGGGCATTTGGCCTCGGACGGCAATTTCGAATTGGCAAGATATCGATTACAGATGCAGGGCGGTGGAACTATAGAACCAATCACAACTACGTTTTTGAGATGCCCTCAGCTGCTCACGAGCACATCCCTTTGCCTCGCCTTTTGGTGTGTCTGGTGACCCCCGATCTGTCCACCTTGACTGTGACATTGACCGGAATCCTGACTCAAGTCTCCAATCACTCGAATTAAGGTTTGATTGAATCCTCGTGCCTTGGATCCTCGAAGCCTGTTAGCACGAAGTCTGTTCCCATGCCAAGGGTGCTCCAAAGATGACGCGGAAAGAGAGGAAGAAAGCGGCTGTCTCCAGGTCACGCAAGAAATTGGAGTCTTCTGCCACCGCGTCTCGGTGTTCGGGGATTTCTGGCATGCCTACTTCCAACATCCCAAGAGGGGGGCGAGCACAGAGCATGCATTGTCCCATCATGGTCAGCATCAGCCCGTATGTAAAGAAAAGCCGACCCAAACCTCGCACTCGCACTCATGCGATGCTGGCCCTGGTTTCTGTACAAGCGTATGCTGGCTTTTTGGTTGGGCAGGGCCTGGAAAACGTAGGAAGGATGATGCTGGCCTCGGTTTGGGTCTTGCAGGATGATTGACGAGAACGATTGATTTGAGGCTTCCGAAGAGGAATACCGGCTGATGCTGATAATGCTGGCCTTGGTTTTGCAGGCTGATGCTGATGATGCCGGCCTTGGTGTGGGCGTGTAGCAACGCTGATGCTGATGATGCCGGGCTTGGTTTGTGGGGTCTAAGGGGGTGTTTGAAGACACAGGCGGCTGATGCTGATGATGCTGGCCTGGGTTTGGGGGGCGTAGACGAACAGTTGTGAACATGAGGCGTTGGTTTCGAGTTGCTTGAAGACATACGCAAAATTCTGCTGATCATGCTTGCCTGCGTTTGCGGGTATTCGAAGAGTCAACGGGCTGATGCTGATGATGCCGGCTTTGGTCCGCGGGTGTTCGAAGACGGAAGCAAGCTGATGCTGATGATGCTGGGCTTTCTCGGGGCGGGTGAAGAGACTGACTGACTGATGCGGGCCCTGGTTTTGGGGTGTTCGAAGATGTCAACAGGCTGACGCTGATGATGCTGGCTTTAGTGTGGGCGTATACAAAGATGTAGCCCTTCTGATGCTGATGATATCTGATGATGCCCGGCCTTCGTTTGCGCGTGTTCGAACAGGAAGATGTATACAGGCAGACCTGATGCTGCCGAGCTTTGGTTTGGGGTCCAAGACGTAGACAAGCTGATGCTGCTGATGCCGAGAATGGCTGGGGTTAGCAGAGCCTGTTGCTGACAGCACAGGCTGATGCTGATGAAGCCTGCTTTCAACTGGTGTTCTTCCGAACCATAGACCGGCTGATGCTGATGATGCGGGCCTTGGTTTTGGAGTGCTCCAAGACGGAAGCAGGCTGACGCTGATGATGCTGTCCCGAGTGTGGGCGCGTACGACGATGTAGCCATGCTGATGCCGATGATGCCAGCCTTGGTTTGGGCATGTTCGAACCGGAAGATGTATACAGCCGGACAGGATGGTGCTGAGCTTTGGTTTGGGGGTGTTCCAATGTCGACAAGCTGATGCTGATGATGCCGACCTTGGTTCGGGTCATGCTCGTGGTAGCACAAGCCTGTTGCCGATGATGCCGCGGACAGGCTGATGTTGTTGATGTTGGCTGTGGCGTGGGGATTTAGAAGATGGAAACAGGCCGATGCCACGCTGTTACTGATGATGGTGGCCTTAATTTGTAGGCGTTCAGACATGTAGACGGTTTGATTCGGATGAGGCTAGCCACTGCCTTGGTTGGAAGGTCTGCGAAGATGCGGACACTCTGATGCTCATGATGCTGGCCTTCGTGGGTGGGTATTCGAGGATGTAGACAAGCTGATGCCGATGGTGCTGGACTTCTGTTGAGGACGTTCGAGGAGGTAGGCGCTGAAGCTGCGGAGGCTAGCCTTGTTGCTAAACCTGTGTTCGGCGGCGTGTGGTGTAGGCCAACTGATGCTGATGATGCTGGCCTTAGTTTGTGGCTTTACGATGATGTAGGCAGTCTCGTGCCAATGATGTTGAGACACATTTCTGCAGGACGCTGTTTGCGTTGCACGGTCCAGGTGGTTGTTGTGGATGCTGGCCGTTGCTCCCCAAAAGCCTGACGGCAAGGAGCAACAACCAGGGACGCAACGTTCGTAAGTCTGTACTGCCAAACATGTTTGACACCTAGTTACCCTAAGTCTTGACTTTGCGAAGCTAAACTCACAGGGCCAAGGGCCTGCCGGCCCCTGCCGCCGCAAAGCCTGCGCCGAAGCCGGCGCCGGTCCTTGGCCAGGTCTGGCCACGAAGAAGCACGGGCTGGTCTGTGTTTTGTAACGCTTTTCGGGTTTCAGCTTCCGGGCGTGTGTGGTGTATAGACTCTTGACATGGCTAATTCTAGAGTCGGGGTTGGGGGCAGCGGTCGGAGGATGCTGTGAGGCCTAGGATGAGTTGCGGCGTTTCCTGTGTATCGTTTCTCAAGTAGCGGTGAAACACTTTTAATATCTATTGCAAAAGTTGCATGGCAGGGGAGTGCATGTTGCACTGTTTCCTTCTGCTTGCAGGCCAAGAAGAAGGGCAAGAAGCGCTTGAGGCTCTGCCTGTCGCAGCTGTGCTCTCACTCGTGGGCTTCAATCTTGCTGTGCTCGTGTATCCATGTCGTGTCGTACTGAGCCGAACAGCCACAATCTTCTTCCTGCCGAGCACCCCGAAGCCTAAGCCATCAACCCCCTGATAGCCCCTAAACCCTTAATCCCGAAGCCAGCAGGCCCGGGCAAGCCAAGCGGAATGCGGCCAGCGAGGGCCCGGCGGGAAAGGCACCGAAGCAGGAGACGTCAAAGAGAACCCTAGGCCATGCGGAAATGGAAGCCTGAATGATTACCGATGAATAATTCTTGAGAGTGATTAGAACCCCGATGTTGTTCTGCAAAAAGCTGTTTCGGTTTAAGGCTCCGGTGGCGGGAGGTTCCTTGAGTAAGCGCTTTTGGGCTGTGGCACGAGGCTAGGGTTTCGGTCACACTGCGCACGCATGTTGGTTAAAGACTTGCAGGTGCTGAGTTCGCAGCCATCCTGGGTCAATGCGCTTGCTTGCTGAAGTGGCAGTGATGGGCCCGGGGTTGAACAGCTTCCATTCTCGATGCAGTGGCTAGTAATTAGCTTAGCAACTCTGCCCACCAAAAAGCAGATGATCTTTGGTGCATCCCTCGGGCCAAGAGCTGCCACTAGCTGCAGCTGGCTGCTCATTCTTCGCGATGGTTCGCGTGCCTCGGTGTGTTGTGAGGCAGGCGACTTTATCGTAAGCCATCTGTTTGGGTGTTTCGAGCTCTCCGGGTTGCAATCCCATGTAGGACGCCCCATGCCTCGCCTCAACCTCCAAGGCCCCTCGGCTTGAAAAGCCATCAGAAACTCGATGCCTACCAGGTGCGCGTGCTCTTTCCCGAGCTCCTCTCTGGTTCCCCGACTGCGGCTGGGAAGCGGAGGGCCCTGGAGATGCAGCGGCTGTCGCCTCCGAAGACACCACGGCCCGGGGGCTGCTAGGACCAGAATGAGCAGTGGAAGTAGCGAGAGAGATGGGGGTTTTTCAAGGAAAGGTGGGAAGGTTTCCCAGGCTTTTGCTGAGAGTTCGAAAGCTCGTTGACAAATTCCTGTAGACCCTCTTCCCACGGCTCTCTTCCTATACACAAATGCCCAAGAGACGGAAGAATTTAGGATTTCGAAGCTCGCGCAATGGAGCCAAGGTACGCGACGTTTGCTGACGGCTGTGGGTCAGCCATCGGCCGAGGCGACAAAGGGATCTTCAACGGAGGCTTCGAAAGCGGCGCCCAAGCAGGCGAAGTCGGCACGTGGACCGAAGGCGTCCACAGAGCTGACAGAAGTCCCAGCGCACAAGGACACTATTGCAGGAGCCGAGGATGTGAGGCTTCCTGCCGTTGCAGCTGCACCTGTCGACGACGGCCCACTGGCCGCGCCTGCCGCACCGGTGGAAGCGCCGCTGAAGAGGACCGAGAAAAGATGATAAGAGTGTTTTCGAAGTCGAAGTCGAAGATCAGACAGAGTTAGCCCGTGGCTTTCGCGAAGGAGGCGCAGTGCCTGCGAGGAGGCGCAGCAACTCGGCAGCGTCTTCACAACAGCTTTGGCTCCTTTTGCTCATGAGTCACTCGAGTGAGAACCTGGGAGCAACCCCATGGCCCCCCCAAGCATCTCTATTGGATGTCTAAGTTAAGTTTGATAAACAGTATATGTCATAATATTACTTTGTATCATATAGTAAATACATGTAAATACTCTATATAAATGTATAGAATATATAATACAATGCAGCACTCCGGAGTCAGCCGCATGTGACTTGCAGGTATTCTTGCAGGGACGCCAGCCTTGTGCAACCCCAATCTCAACATATCTCAACGCCGTCCCCCCGACTCTCAGGTCAGCAGCATCTAGCGGCGATGACGACGTGGCCGGGACCTGAGTGGGATGAGGTGCCGTACCACCACTCTTATGGTGACAGCCCGTCGCAAGTCGCAGAGTACGGTACATCTCCGCACACTCTCTCTAATATAGGCTGAGCGCTGAGGCCTTCAGCTGGTCGGCCCTGCGCGTCACGCGCCGGGACCTGGCCTGCCTGGAGGAGTGGGCTGCCCCATCTTCTGAACCCTTACCGGCGTATTTCAGCTGACCTACATGAGCGCTCTGGCGTAAAGCCTCGGTCGGAGCTTCGATTCACGCCGCCTCAGGAGGGTAACATGTTGAATGACGCAGTGTCTGTGGCTGCATGGAGCACAAACAGTGCTTTGATTTCATCTTGTCTCGGCTTCGATGGGAATGTTAGGGAACTTTCGTGTGTTAGGCAGTATCATTTCTCCGGTATCTGCTGCACACCATGTGTGAGTTCGGGGATTTGAGCCTCATGCAGTTGCGCAGACACCTGAGGGAGGGGCCGTTCACATGCCGAGACCATCTCCTTGTGCCCAAGAAGTCCCTAAACTCGTCTGCCTGAAGCGGTGTCAAAGCAGCCCTATTGACTAAACCCTAAACCCTAAACCCAATTATTGGAAAATGGATTCTACTCGGAGTCGAGGTGGTGGACTTCTTCTTGCAGCTCATGACGAGCCAGCTGCTGCCGAACAGCTCCTCGGCACACGTTGCTAAGATGGGTTTAGGGTTTGGGGTTTAGGGTTTAGGGTTTAGGGCTCCATGATACTATAATTACTATAATGAACCCCCCCAAAATAGCATAGGTAATTATTAAGGCCCCTATATTATACTATGGGCTCCCAAGATGGGAGATGCCAAACGGCCGGGGATTGTCGGACTGCTGGTAGATGTGCAGCGCCCGAAGCCTTAGGTGACATCCACCTCTTCTCCACCCACTTCTACACCCGTCTGACAGCGGCGCAAGCCGCGAATGGAATGATTGGCTGGGAGAACGTGAAGGGTTGGACGAAGAAGACGTCGTGGCTCGCCAGCTTCAGAGTTGTCTCTTGACCGTGAGTTCATTTTCGCAACAGGTGACTCGCAGGCAAGCCTTGTCAGCACAACTTGAATCTAAATCTTGATCTCAAGCCCACGCCCAAAACAGTCCCAGAAGGCTGTTCTCTCGAAAGCTTGCCATCGTCCCGATCAACGCAGAGATGCACTGGCCAGAGGCTCAGACAGACAGTTTCTCTTCAAGAGGAGCAGTCTGAATATTCACCTTATTCGCACCGCGCTGTCCAACAACTCTATATCCCAAGCCCCGTGTGACCTGACCCTGAATCCGAACCTCACACAGAAAGCACAACGTACCCGAAGCCCGAAGCCCTGAACCCACGGAGCTCTGAGGTTTCTGGCGTTGATCCGCCTCGACGTCCCAGCGCCCCGGCTTTTCTTCCTGGATTCCCTGGAGGGAGAGGAGACCAATTGATGCATGGCACAGTGGATGCTACTACAAGACCAGTGGTACCAACGAATGGTTATCTCTTGGAAGAGCGACAGTGCTAATAGCAAGCGTCATAAATTATAAGGGGAATACTGGTACAAAAACTGTCCTAGCACCAGGAAGTCAGCCATGGATCATGACGGCTAAACCCTGGATGCAGAACCGAACACCCAGGCCTTAAAGTCAAGATCCATGCCAGCAGGACTCGCGCTACAGAAGCGTGCTGAGCTTCCTTGGAGGATGCGGTCATGCGTAGGTGTAGGTGGCTCTCATCTTGTGGCGGGTGATCACATGATTCCAGGGGCATGACACAGTGCCTGTCCATGCCCTTGTACATCCAATAATCTAGCATGGCGAGGAACGGTCTACTGATTCGGGCAATGTATTGCGATCGCCAAGCACCTGCAAGGATACCTTCAAAGGGAGTGGAGCGAGCGTGGTGCAGCCGGCAGTGACATGAATTTCGGGGCACTGGCGTGCCTTGGCGGAGATTCATTGGAGGGCATTCGACAACAACTTCTTATCCAAGCTTGCCGTGGCAGTAATATCACAGTGTGCCTTTCCGAGTCCTGGCATTTCCATCCTCCTGTCTGCAAAGGTTTACACCGGAGACTCGCTTGAAGTCGGATGAGCAAGAGAACGGCCCGAGTCTCAGCGCTGTCGCTACTGGCCTTCGCCGTAGCATGCCGAGCCGCTGGAAAGGCATCAATCCTAGCATGATGAGCAGCCGCCGCACAAAGGGCCGGCATCATCATCATCATCATCATCATCGTCATCACCAGCATCACCATCACCATCACCATCACCATCACCATAACCATCACCATTACCATCACCATCACCATCACCATCATCATCATCATCATCATCAGTCGGCCAGTGTCTCATACACCGCGGGAAGACAACCAGCATCAGTTTTTGCATCATGAGCGCCTGCCGCGCGTAGCTTCGGCATCATCAGCATCAATCCTAGCATCGTGAGCTGACGCCCTGCGTCTTGTACGTGCAGCATCAATCCTAGCATCGTGAGCGGACGCCCTGCGTCTTGTACGCGCAGCATCAATCGTAGCATCATGAGCACCGTGCGCACATAATGCCCGCATCATCAGCGTCAGCAGGGCTTTCTGCACGGCAGGAAAGACAGCCAGCATCACTCAGGGCCGGCATCATCGGCATCAGCCGCCATGCGTGTAAGACGCCGGATAGGGACAGCCAGAATCAACCGAACACAACATGAGCTGCACACGTAGGGTCGACATCATCAGCATCAGCCGGCCAACGGACCAACATCTCCTACAGTACGCCGTAGGAAACGGCCTTCGTCAATCCAAGCATCACAACTCCCCCGATGCAGTCTATGGACCTGTTGATGTCGTCAAAGATCCGGTACCCACGAGCCAAGCTTGAACCTGAGGCCGTTCAACCCAAGCTAGCTTTGTGTCGGCCACGGGCTTTCCAGAGGTGTTGATTGTGGCGTCTTCCTGCTGGACAACGTTCTCCGTTTGCTCCAGACGCTTGGCTCTCTTGAGATCCCTCGCAAAGCTTTCCAGGCTGCGGAGTTTCCGTAAATTGGGCCATGTTGGGACTTACCCCCCAAAGAATTGGGAGATGTTAGGCTTGTCGGGTTCACGTAGCAGCACAGGCAGACGTCTCGCGGCTCTCAGTTGGACCAGATTGCGCCCCTTGTCGGCAGCCGGCCGTAAGCATTGAGGGCTTGTGGGTCCAAGGTCATACAACGCAAAATGGCCGACAGTGCTTTAGAAATCAAGAGCGGGACGCAATTCAACGTCGCTTGCTGTGCTCACGTATGACATGTACATGTATTCCTTCCCTTCCCATTCCGTAGCCTGGCCCTGCCTTGCCTTGCCCTACAGTGCTAATTGCAAGGCACCCCCCAGCCCCTACATAGCACATGATGTTGCAGTTTGCTGCTTTGCATCGGAGTGTTCAGCTTGGTTGTTTGGGCTCCTGACACATGACTGCGTAGGGGCCAGGTTAGCATGCCAACCCTTTGATGGGGCTTCGAGTACCTTCTATCAACTCTCGGTTCGACGTATGAACTTGCACTCCCTCTGCTCCAGGTGGTGCACCCAAGAAGCCGCCACGCGGCGCCGCATCGCGCTGCGCCGTTCCTCGCCTTCGGCTTCGGGTTTCCACGGTTTCAAGGGTTTTTAGAGGTTTCCATGGCCTCAACAGGTTGCACCTCTGCCATGGGACTTTTCCCCAGAGCTGCGCTGAATGCCCCTTTCACCAAAGTCCACGGTCTTCTTGTACCGAAGACTCCTTTCGCCAAGGCCTCTTTTGGCCAACGCCTCCTTTTGTTGCCTGCCAGAGTCCCCAACCCCGAGGCACGGCTTGGCGACTCCAGGAGATGGGGGGCGACATCTCAGCGCCCTGGGATTGCGCTGCGAAGTGTGAGCGTTTTGAGGATGACATTGCTTGATTTTTTTGTGTATGTTTTGAAATGCTGACGGCGTGGCCTTCGTGATTGAGGTTTACTGTAGGAAGTGTTTTTGGATCTTGCCGTTCTTGTCGCAGTTAGGGTGTGGTGGGGTCTGTCATGATGATGCACCGTCATGAGCTTCTCCCAGCAGGCTCGGCGGTTCTTTATGGGGCTTGGGGTTTAGCGTTTTGGGGGTTCTTTAGGCAATGATGTTACAATCCATGCCAACACAAGCTTCCAGCCTTAGGTGCTTCTCCCTGGCCGCCCGGACGTTCTCGCCAAGCTGCGCGTGCCCCTGGGCCCAAGGATCCCGGACTGCGAGGGATCTTCAGGAGATCCCGGGCAAAACAGCAAGGCTTTGCATGTCACAGGCATGAGACCTCAAGACTACAGGAACTCAGAAGAAAGAGTTGCTTCTAGGGGTTCCTCAGAGTGCCTAGAGCCCGAATGTGTATCCAAAGTCGTCGGATCCTTGAGGCTTTGGGGCCTCGGAGAAGCACGACCCCCTGAGGCGAAGGTGGAGCAGAGGGACGTTTGGGAACTTCGAATGGGTTTGGAAGTTTCGGGGGTGAGGGGCTTCGGTTGAGGATGAAGGGAGTTGCGAGGATCTTGAAGGAGCAGCTGGACATAGCAATATGTGGGGGGAAAGGCACCGGATGCATTTGGTTGGGGCATCCTCCGAATCCCTAGCCAAGCTGCGCAACTTCTGTATGTATGCCACTTCATGCCACACGCTCCGAAAACTGCCGCACCCACGTTCAGCACCCCTGTTCCCTTGAGGCGGCACCCAAGCTGCCGCTGTGCTTGGAAGACGACGATGCGTCAGGCAAGTTGCGGCGAGACCGCGGGGTTGGGAGGCGTTTAAGGTTCTGCACCCTGTTAAGGATGCCTCTTTCATGGGGTCCGCAGGCATGTAAAGTTCTGCACCCTTTTAAGGATGCCTCTTGCATAAGGTTCGCCTTTCCCAGCCTGTATCCCACCTCAAGGAGACTTTTAGCACATGCGGCAAAGGCGAAGTCGTGCGTAGCAGCTCGAGCAGACAGCAGAAATCCAATGGCACTCCACAAAGCTCTACCTCCCTTCGGATCCATCTTGCGGCAATCGTGCATTGCGGCTCGAGGTGCAGAGGATTTGACGATGGAGTGCTGTGCCGTGTGAGCCGTTGGAAGAAGTCGGAATTTCACGGATTTTACTGGCTCTAGTCTGGGTTGCGGGCAGCCAAGTCCCCGACACTGCTTTCTTATGTCACGAGACATCCAGAGCATTTCGGACCATGCATGTTCTAGCTGTTTCAGAATTCGATCGCAGGGGCTTCTACACAAGCGGCAGATGCAATACAACTTGTGTGTGTGTGTGTGCGCGCACAGTCTGCAGTCGTGTGAGAAGCTCCTGTCGCCGTTGTAGCCCATGAGACAGAAGAGGACCATGTGGGCTTGCAGATGGGAAGTCGAAAAGTCCAGACGTGCACGTTCCCAAGTTCACTCCTCCTTCCCGGAGACTCAGAAGGCCCCGGGTTGGAAGTCCCGGAGTGCGCCAGGACCAGGAGGAGCCCTCCAAGAAGCGCGTCCGCGCGCGGAGGAGGACGGGTCTTGTTGATTTGTTGGGGAAGCTTTGCGAGGGCTTTTACAGCTTCGAGGGCTACACTTGATGCGACTCCATCTTGAGGTACCATGGCCCATACTTGGAGATCCTCTATTTGTCCCTGTACTCTCCGTACTCAAGTTGCGGTTATGCGGCTCTTGCCATAGGAAGTTGAAGTGTTGCTTACAATGTTTCTGTTGAACGCAGTGTGATGTGCGACGGACTTCAGAATCTCAGCATCTACTCCGAACTATCCAAGCATCAGTCATGGCCCGGTGTTTACGTGTGCAGGGGCACCCAAGGGGAGAAGCAGGCAGGGGGTTCTTTGGGGGGACGGGACTTGTCAGTGATTTGTCTTCCAGTCATGTGAGACAGTTAGTGATGGTCATTACATGAATAGATGCGCAGTAGAAGAAAGGTGTAGAAGAGTACGAGCAGAGGTTGCCATGCTGCTGTTTTCGGGGGTATTGTTTCATGTCTCGAAGCGCTGGAACCCTCACAGTCCTAAACCTCCAAGTCGCCATGCCTGAGCCTTATTTCCGATCACTGACATCCAAGTCAACCCTAAACCCTAAACCCTAAACCCCTAAACCCCTAAAACGCGGTCCCGACGTCAACCTCCTTGTAGGCTCCTGAAGCGGAGCCGCCCAGGCCGAGGGGTGCGGTGGAGAGGAGGGACCGGAAGTTGTCTCTGTTTTTACAGGCATAGGTTGTGCTCCCTTATGGTGGTGGCTGCTTCGGCAAGTTTCCAAATTGGGGTCCCTGTTCCGGTCCTTGTGATAAGGGTGCCGTACTATGTGGGGCAATAGATCCTGTCTTTGCCTGGCTGAAAACTGATGTATTCAGACCGGTAAGAGGCACCATGCAGAATGAACGTGGGCTTGAGGCTTGCTATGGAGCACAGGCCCGTTCCTGGTGCACATGCTAATCAGAAATCAGAGAATCGCATGGCAGTGGCGTCTCTGGATCGCCTCATATTGGCAGGTGTAAAAAAGGCCACACCATGGGCCAGCGCACTGACAATCCGCCCGCCTACAAGAACGAGGCGAGCCTTCGCACAGGAGCTATCGAGAAGCAGGAGGTGAGCTGTCCAACGGGTTCCATACTATGGTAAACTTCACCTCGACATGGAGAGGCGTGCTGTGACGTCTGCGGCCGGGAGCACCTGGCAAAACTCTGCACCAAGCAGTCCATGCCTCGGGCAGGGCTGCTGCAAGGGATGCGCAGAGCCTCATGAATGTTGCACCCCCATGCCGAGGAAGCTGACGCACTACTTCCACTGCAGGCGCATGCTCAATTGCGAGATTCCTCTTGCATGCGGTGCTTTGAGATTTTGAGGCTCAGTTTGCGCGGTAGTCAGTTCTGATCGATATCATGATATCGGGATGGCTTCAGGAAGTCGGATTGAGGTGCAAACTGGGATTGTCTCCAGCCTCTGCCATCAGCCACACGCAGATCTGCCGTGTTTTCTTTCTGTGCAGAGGAGACCGGAGAATAGATAGCTTCGGTCCCCGCCCATCATCCCCATCCACATTTGTCTTCCTCTCTCTCGCTCTTTGCTCTCTGCTCGCTGTCTCTCTCTCTCTCTCTTTCTCCTCCTCTCCCTTCGTGCTCCAGCTGTCGAGTTCCAGCACTGCCCGTTTGACCAGTTTCTGTCGATTCGACATCTGCCCGAACTGCGCCAAGAAGCTCGGCGTCAAGTTCAGGCAGAACTCTCTACATTCGTTTCCAGGATGGCAAAGGCAGTTTTCGAACAGTAAACAAGTACTCACTAACCTCAGTTGTGGACTAGTAACTTAGCATGATACTTAGTGTGCGTGGTATGCATTCGTATGTAGTTGTGTTTGCACTTGTGTATGTATGCATGCATGTAGGTACCTCATGCAAATGCGTCTGCGCCTGCGTCTGGGTGATTGTAGGTGTATGTATGTCAGTAGTCAGGCAGGCAGGAGTATCTGTCCGTCCAGTCCATCTGTCTGTCTGTCTGTCCATCTGTCTGTCTGTCGGTCTGTCTGTCTGCATGGTGCACGTATTTGCCGGTTTGACATGCGAGTGTAGGTGCGTGATTGCCACGCTTCATGGGTTGACTTGCAAGCTTCAGAGGTGGTTAATTGCTTGTTTTAAGTGGTTGAAGAGACAGCAAAACCCACGATGGTCTTGCCAGCGTCGTCCTTCGGGCATCGAGTGTTGCATCATTTCGGGTTGAAGCCTCGGTTGATTTCAGAGATGGGTCGAATGGTAAGCCGTTTGGGTTCAGGGCTAGGGCAACTGTTGTGCTCGGCGAAGCTTAGTTGTGGCGGCCTTCAGCTGTAGGCCGAGGTCCCTTGGCCGAGAATAGAATCCAAAACCTAGGCCCATGAGCTGGAAGACGAAGCCAGAAAACCCTAAACTCTTCACCGAAACCGAGAGAAAATCCTGTGAGCCCGTCGCAGCGCTGAGCCACAAAGCGGAAAGCTGAGGACCTGGTCCCCCGAAGAAGAGCGACTGAGCCTCGGGCCTTCCGTGCGACATCGAGACCCGAGTTACAGATAGCTTTCAGGGGTTAAGGGGTTTTCAGTGTGGTGAAGGTTGAAGGTGAAGGGCGTAGGTTTGTTTGGGGCTTGAGGTTGAGGGTGGAAGTAAGGTTGGCGGGTTTGAGGTTAGCGACAGGCTTTTGAGCAGGTTAAAGTTGAGGGTCTCATGGTCAACGGTCTTGCGGGGTTTCTGGGGATTAAAGTTCAGGGTTTAGGGTTTTCAGGGTTTTGGGCCTCGGCTTTACGGCTTTATGGCTCTGGTTGAGGTTGTAATTAGGGTTCAGAGCTTTAGGTCGCTACGTGCACAGTGAAAGAGCGTGGATGCTTATGGATACGTCTTACGTTCAGCTTTGAGGGTTTAGGGTTCAAGGTCAGGTTTAAAGTTGAGGGAGTGAGCCTCCTTGCAAGTTTGACATTATGGGATTAGGGTTTAAGGCTGTTGGGGCCCGTGGATCGAGGCCGGAAGGCGCGGGACAGCAAGTTTGGCAAAGTGCAGGCCGCGCCGAAGGCGCCCGTATTGTGGGGTTCCGGGATAGAGGGTGAGAGTCGCGGTTGTTGCCGTCGTGGTGTGGTAAGTGCACTACGAGTGCGACGGGTCTCATAACGCCATCATTACGATCATTGCTCCTTGCTATTACGGTCATTATTGCTTTTATTACGACCATTGTTGCTGTTACAATGCTCCTTGAGCAGGTGGCGCCTGTTCAGTCTCCTCCGGGCACGAAGGCGGTGCCTGCTTCACGAAGCTGTGGGAGTCCAGGATGCTCAAGCGAGCTTTAAGTTGAGTTCCATGGGTCAGGGTCTACGACGAGTCTACGAGGACTTTGAAGCAGCAGTGGCAGCCATAAGAATGTAATTGTGCCCAGAAGCCTCTGGAAGAGTACTGCCAGGCACGCCGGCAGATCTGGATCCCCAGTGAGGCGCATGCAGGGTTTCCGCCCGTCAGGGTTTTTGCGTTCTGAGTGGCTTCGGAGCCCAGGAACATTGCAAATTCCGAATACAGCCTAGCCAGTAGACCCATCACGACCCTTTCGACGGTAATGCCGGGCACAGTAGACGGGAGCTTCAAGGCAAAAGCCTTACACCCCGAACCTTGAGAAATCTTGAACCCTGCTCCGAAGATCATAGACCTAAACCATCGTCTCTCAACCTTGCAGTGCCAACGCTGCACCTCGAAACTGAACTGCAAGCCTAGACTGCACCATCAATTAAGAAACCCGAGAATCCTGAATCCAACTCCCCACGCCGTCTTCATATCTTACTCTAAGCCCGGAAACCCAAACCTTGTAAGGACCCCGAACCCTCACTTCAGGCCGATGCTGTCAGCCGAGCTCCGCTTCAGAGCCAGCTGGTCTCGGTAGCGGCCCCTGAATGTCAGAGGGTTTAGGTTATGAGACTCTAACTGATGCTTTGGGCTTTACGTTTTTTGGGTGATAGAGCTTGCAGGGGTCGTTCGGTCTTTTATGAGCTCGTGGCGGGTTTATTTAGATTCGTGGGTGTACGTTACGATACCTAGGCCCGTTGTCGGGATACAGCGTGGGGATGCCGGGATGAAGGGTTCAGAGCTTCAGGTGTTTAGGGTTTGGAGGTGAGGACCAGTAGAGGTTCGGTCGTGAGGTCGTTACTTCTCGGGATGGCGGTTGAGAGCTGGTCGATGTTGTTCTATCCGAACCGTGCAAGCGACAGAAGATACTCCGGGAGTGTGCGGAATGCTCGGCCCTTCTGCGGCTAAGGAGTGGCTGGAGGGGCTGCCTGTTTGATGCCGAAAAGCAAAAGCCATGCTTGGAGCGTGTCCTGTGCATAGCCTGCCGTGGATCACCGTGCTGGTCTGTCTGGGCCTGTTGAGAGCTGTTGACGTGCACGATGCTGTCGATCTGGCTGAGTGTTCTCTGGTAGAGCTCCAACCAAAGAATGTGGTTGGTGAGTCTGTTGGATAGTTGGGCTAGTTGCAGACAACTCAAAACCACTTAGCAGCGGTCCAGCCTATGCAAACTGACACATGAAAGCATCTGGAGTAGTCCAAGAAAACAGCAGCAAGCCCCACCTTTGGAGAGAGATCACTGGAGACTTCCGTCGAACCCGATTGGAGTGTTGACGGCATGGCGGCACTTGCAAAGAAGTGCAAGATCATTGAGGATCTAACAAAGTTTCTGAAGGAACGTGGAGGTAGTGTCATGTCTGGTGATGTGGGTAACTTCTTGATCAAGCACAAAGAACATCGCGAGATGCTGCCGGACCTGCGGATGTTCTGCGAGAAGCACCCGCAACACCTTATCATATCGAAGCCTAAATCGGGTCCCTGGAAGCTTTCCTTGAACAAGACTGAAAATGAAGCTGTGCAGAAGCTGGCGGAATTTATTTCTTCACGAGGCGGCTTGCTGCGGTCACACGATTTTCCAGACTTCAAGGGCCAGTATCCCGCCCTTGCGAAGGTCATTTACTCAGGCGGACGCACTTTGCGGGAGTTTTGCCAGCTCCACCAGAACACGTTCGTAGTGGAGGCGAGCGATGCGGACCCGAGTGTCTGTATCCGCCTGATGTCCCAGTCGTCGAAACAAGACAAGGAGACGGTCCAAGCACTGGTAAAGCTGCTGAAGGAGTCCGGTGGCTCCATAGAGTCTGCCAAGCTGAAGGACTTCCGAAAAGAGGTGCCGAACCTTCGGGCATTTTGTGAGCAGCACCCGAAGCGTTTTGCAATTTCACCGGCTATCGGTGGTGGCTGGCAGCTGCTGCTGGCCCCAACTGAGAAAGAGGCTGCACAGAGGTTGGCCAAGTTTATCGCATCTCAGAGCAACTCTGAGATCAATGCTAGCAGTTTTGGAGACTTCAAGAAGCTGGATCCGGCCGCGGCCCATGTCATCCGCTTAGATGACCAGAAGCTGGGCGAGTTCTGTGAGAAGCACGCGACTACTTTCGTCGTGAAGATTACCGGAACCGGGCTTTTGATTCGCTTGCACTCCACAGCTCCGAAAGCGTCGGATGCGAAAGACAAGAAAGTTCTTGCAGATTTGGGCAAGTTTGTCAAGGATGCAGGTAACATGATCTCGACCGAGCACCTGACCGAATTTTGCGCAAGCCATCCAGAGCACAAGGCTTTGCTCGCGAATCCAGGTCCATTCTGTGCGATTCACAAGGACCACTTCGTTCTTTTGAGAAACGGCCCAGGGTGGAATCTTATGTCGACTTCCTTCGAAAAGAACTTTGTGATGAAGGTCGTGGACTTCATTCGAGAAAATGGTGATTTGACATCTGTACCTGGAGACGGAGTGGCGCAGTTCATACAACACAATCCAAAATTTGCGAGAGTGCTGAACTTAGGCAGAGAAACACTGCGTCAAATCTGCGACAGGCATGGTGCCTGTGTTTTTGAAGAGATATCTTCCATCGCAGGATATTGCATCCGGCTGCATGATCGAAACCGAAGCGAAGCTGTTGCAGATCTTGTCCAGTTCATGCGTGGTCGACATGACGCAGCTGCCAATTTTGCGCCAAACGAATGGAACGAATTCTTCACTAAACACCCGCAACATCGTGTCACGGTTGCCAATACGCGGACCTTCTGTCAGAAGCATTCGAAGCATTTTCACGTCTGGGAGGGCACAGGGGGACAGTGGCGAGTCCAGCTGGCCAGTGCCAGCACTTCAAGGCACGTTGCAGCTAACCTGGCCGTGTTCATTCAGAAGCGTGGCAAAGCCGTTCCTGTGGAGCATCTGAGCTTATTCTACGGGGAGAGTCCTGCATATCGTCAGGCCATCTCAGAGGCCGGAGGTCTGAAGAGCTTTTGCTCAGATCACGACAGGCTCCTGGAGTTTAAGACGACAGCGTCAGGTTCGCAAATAGAACTTGCATGCCACTGCTGCTACTTTTTTCGCGGTGTGTGCAGCCACGACTCGACACATGGGAAGTATTTGCACGTGCTTCCCTGCACAGCTGATGCTCTGGACGCGTCTTGGCTGAAGTGGGGTCTCCGCATCGCATTTTCATCACCGTGTAGGCTTACGGTCGAAGCTTCTGAGGATGCTGTGTCCTGCTCCTATGGTCCCAAGTGCAAGTTCGGCCACTGGGAGAAGGTGATGCAGCAGGCTGCGATAGAGCAAGACCGTGGCAGCAGCTTGTCTTTAACGACCGCCGCAAGATCTCGGCAAACCTAACCCCGAAATGCCGAAAAGAAGAGTCTGAGCTCCGCTGCAGCCTGGGACTGCGGCTGCGGCTCTTGCTCGCTCCCAAACATAGAGCCATTCCGAACTTCGAAGTTTGTGAAAATGAAGAAAGGTGGGCAGATGCATGAGGATCGGTTGATGCTGCAAACATTGGTTTGTCCCAAGAGAACAGGGTCGCATGGCTGTCACGTCCCCATAGGACAAGATGTGGAACGTGTCGTATTCTGTCCTGGTTTTTCTTCCTTGCAGTTTCCGAGATGTGGGTTTGGGATCCATCCTCCGTCAGCTGGATATATGCTTAGCCAGATGACCGTGTTAAGCCTCAAGGGCAGGGATGGCTTGCAAAGCCCAAGAGGGCAAAGCAAACGAGAATGACGGGTGAGAAACCCTGACCCTAGTCCCCAGGCCCCGGGCCCTTCCTGGCAAGACCGAAACCTCAGAAATGATCCTCCTGACTCTTCTGATATCTGGGAGAAACTCGACATCCAAGAAATCAGCCAGACCTGGAACCCACAACAAATGCTATCAGGAGCGACGGCTGAGGCCCTTAACCCTGGAAGGAGTTATGGCGCAGCCGAGAAATCATAACCGGTGAAACCAACTGGAACGGAGATTGGGCAGTCCAGCAGAGAAGGCCGACAAGCTATTTACCATTCCCATCGCGAGAAACAGCAACGACGCTATGAACCCAACGCCTCAAGAAGCAAACATGTTTCCATGTGCGAGTGGAAAGCCGCTGCTTCCCTCGATGTTACGTCTGTCTTCGACTGTTCCATCCTATCACCACCAGTCAAAGCCAAGGTACTAGCAGCTCCGTCACATCGCCCGCAGGCCAGGAGGCATCAGCCAAGCCAAAGCCGATACAGGCAACCAAGCTTGCGGTGAGCACCGGCACAGCAGGCACGGCAAGCGCGGAACGCAGCGGACAAGACCCGTGGGCCGACGGCTTGGACCCCTGGAGCGAGAGTCTTCCAACTTTATCGCTTACACAGCCTGGCGGGCTGGGCCCGTCGGAGGAAAAGCCGGTGCCCGGTTCGGAAGCCGCAGGAGCAAGCAATCAGCAGGCATCGCCTCGTCAAGACCCCTGGTCCGATGGGCAAGATCCTTGGAGCAGCAGTCTTACAAAGCCTTATTTGGCACCTGCAGCTGATCTTGCTGCAGGACTGCCAGCCCATGAGCACGAACGAAAGACGGAGCAGCATGTCACCACGCGCATCGATGCCAAGTACACTGATGCTCCTTTGCCTGCGCAGGAGCAACCAGACCGCCAGCTGGAGAATGAAGGATTGAGTAATGACCCTTGGGCGAATGGGCAGGACCCTTGGAGCAGGAGCCTTCCAGGTCTCGTCCAGCCAGCTCCAGGCCCCGCAGAGGCTAAAGCGGGTTCCCACACAGAGCAGCCGGAAGGAACGGTGGAAAGTGCAGTGGCTGTACACGGAAAAGAAGGGCCCAGGCCGGATCCATGGGCTGAAGGGCGAGATCCTTGGAGCAGAAGCCTTGCCGTCGAGTGTCGGAATGGCTCTTCAGATGCGGATCCGGCGTCTACGACACATGCTGAGTGTGCTGCACCATCTCAGCACAGCCCATTGTCAGCCGATGAGCATGGTGAACCGCCACTTCCGCACGGTGAAGCAAGAGCCTTGCAATCAAACGGTAGCTGCAAGCTCACGGAGATGCGTGCTTCTCGGGATTCGTGGTGCATGGAAGACGTGGATGACTTGCCGGCAGCTCCAGCTGTCAGCACATCGCCTCTGCTACTGTTGCCCTGTGCAAACGGGAGGATGGAGCTGGAGGGGCAGAGCTTTCCGGAAGATCGCTGGAGCAGATGCCTGCCAGCATCTCGCATGGACTCACCGAAATCCTGTGACGAGGGCAGCGGCCCTCCGCAGACAACCCGTGGAGGCGAAGAGAGGCATGCGAGCCACTCAGGACGGGTACTCTTAGTAATGCTGTTTTTACTGAGGTACGTTTTCGGCCAGGAGACATTAGTGTCAGGCATTGGCAGATTGCTCACAGCTGCCAAATCCCAAGTGCCGAGGTGAAGAGGGCATCCTTGCCGAGCACGGAAAAGGCAGCTGGGTAGAGCAAGCACGGGCTCAGCGCGATTTGCTCGAGACAGTGGTGGACGGTGTCGACAAGGACCTGACTCGTGATCGTCGCATGTCTGTTTCTATCGGTTGTAAACACAAGTGCCTAGATGATGGTGGGAGAATTAGGGGCATCATAAATGTGAGGCCAAGCAGATCCGTAGACTAGAGTAGGGTGTTTGCAAAGGAGCGCTCCTTGAAACTCAGGGTGTGGGCTTCGAAGACTGGGAATGGCTCCGGTCCCTATTGCTTTCAGTTGCAGGAGCCGCAGCAAGTCGAAGAGCAGCGCTGCGTGTGCGAGCTTGAGAGTTTCTTGTCAAAGTGTGCCAAGTTCGAGTCGAAAGCTTATGGTCGACGGGCACCTATGGATATTATGGTAAGATGCGAAGTGGATGGTGGTGTTCGGGTGTCATGATACTCTGCATGGGTGATGTGCGAAGACGGATGCTACACTCGTCGAGCGTGGCAGTCTGCTGACATTCTATCCGGCCTGTCATGAAGCCAACAAACACAGTTCAGTTTCGACACGATGCAGGCAAAGTGTCGAGGAAACGAAGCTGCAGACGATGCAAACTGAGGCTTGCTGTCCAAGCTGCCAGAGAAGCTCTTCACCACCATGAGCGCACCTCAGATCGCTGAGGTCCTGCACCAGGCCAAGGTTCAACGCCTCGTTTTGCAACGAGGCCAGGTGGTGCAACATCCCGAACCCCAAAACTGCACGAAGCTCCCGACCTCCGGATCGCAACTCCGCTCCGAAACCTCAGAACCGAACCCTCTAAAAGCAAAGGCTCGTAACGCCCGGCAGCATCACGTGCAAAAACCGAGCCTTGGGCAGACACCCTCCAGCTCTGCCGGAAGATCTGCCAGCACAACAAACACACAGGATTGTCATGTCACAACATCCAGAAAGGCGCGCAAACTCCCGGTGCCGGGATATCACCTGAAAACCTCAACCCGAATTCAACTCCCTAAAAACTCCAATACAACCTATTAAGGCCCGTGTAACACTCTTCTAAAGCCCCCAAACCCTAAACCTGAAGGTTTGCAGGATTTCCCGAAGAAGCTTGCCAGGCCGGCCGCTGCAGGCAGCTCTTTGTTCCGGATGGCTCCCAGCACACGAGCTTCCAGGAATCGGTGAATGTGTCGCGGTTCAAGAAGGGTCCTATAGCTCTTCAGGGGCTTGTAAAGGTTCTATGGGGTTTTAGAGCTTGGGGTTTCTGGCTTGAGTTTCAGTTAAGGCTAAGGCCAACCCCTTTCTAGGCGACGGGAGCATGAACGCACTCTGCGATGCAAGGGCTAGCTCGAAGTTTTTATTTGGAGTTCAATATCCGTTCGTTTGCGTTTTCTACAAGCCTTTCTTCTTGGGCGGGGCAGGGGTGTGTGTTCTTTGGAGAGACGTATACAGGCCTACCAGCAGCATGTACACACATGCACACACACACACACATATATATATATATATAATATACATGCAGGCAGCTACATACACGCACTTACATGTGTGTACATACAATAGTTATATACATACCCATACATGTACATATGTGTCTGCATATATATATATATATCTTTCTGCAAGCATGTATGTATGTACGTATGTATGTATGTATGTATGTATGCATGTATGTATGTATGTATGTGTTTATGTATGTATGTATGTATGTATGTATGTATGTATGTATGTATGTATGTATGTATGTATGTATGTATGTGTATACATACACACGGACGCGCACACACACACGGTCACATACTTTCGTGCACCATACTCGTGCAACCAGGTTCTGCGGATCAGTTTCCCACATGTAATGTTTTTCTGTAGGATAGGAATTTCTATAGCGTTGCCCGTCACTGGTACTTGCAGTGCCGCTGGTAGGCGAGCTTAGTGACACGCCTGAAGCTGAGCAGTGATTTCTGTATCTGGTGGAGCGCACACAGGAGCCACATTCACGTCGCAAGACTTGGCGGACGCTGGGCTTTGGGTGCAGACGGGAGGTTAGGCATCGGCCGGTCGAAGGGTCCGTTGTTGTCTGAGAGAATTGCAGAGGTTCCCGGCGACCCAAGCCTCAGTTTCAATGAAGGCAGAAGAGTTGTGGCGATTCTGCCTCCGCTCCTTCAGCAAGTTGAACAATGCTTGTCACGATGATGATGATGATGATGAT